CGGACAAGGGGAATCCGACTGTTTAATTAAAACAAAGCACTGCGATGGTCCCAACGGATGTTGACGCAATGTGATTTCTGCCCAGTGCTCTGAATGTCAAAGTGAAGAGATTCAACCAAGCGCGGGTAAACGGCGGGAGTAACTATGACTCTCTTATGGTAGCCAAATGCCTCGTCATCTAATTAGTGACGCGCATGAATGGATTAACGAGATTCCCACTGTCCCTATCTACCATCCTACGAAACCACAGCCAAGGGAACGGACTTGGAAGAATCGGCGGGGAAAGAAGCCACCATCCCGGGCAGCTGCCAACACTTCACCCTCGTTTGGTGTTGCAGCCTCGGTAGAAGTAATGCAAGCCCCCTTTGGCTTGGGCTGGGTGCCGCTCGTCGTCGCGGAAGATCGGCCGGCGTTGCGGGCTTCGATATTTGTGAGAATGATCTGTGACGCGGTGCTGAAAAGCTTGTCGGATGTGTCGAGTGTCCCTGCAATCTGCTTCAGCGCGTTTTGCAGAGCTGGACACGAGCGCATGATAAACAAGTGCTTAATGGCGCTGAAAGCAAGCGGCAGGTCAGGTGTGGAGGCGAGTCTTTGGAACTCGGTAATCCAGTCCTAACTGAGCAGCGTGTTCTGATGGAGCTTGTTGAGCTTGTCCATCGCTTGCAGGTCGGGCGGCTCCACTTGGAATCGCTTGTGCCAGGCGTCGGTCAACTCCTGCCAAGTGAGCTTGGTGTGCAGTTCCGACTCTGCTACGCCGTGGCTGGTCAAGATGTTGTCCAGCCATGCTTGACATGCACCACCAGATCGGTGGTACAAGCACGGATGTCGATCGTTGTTCGGGACATGGTGCATGTCGAGCCTGAGAGTAAACTGGAGCCACCACGGGATCGGTTTCGTCTTGGACTGATCGTAGAAGACGGGAATGTCATCCAGCTTGGGTGGGCGCCGGGAGGATGCGGCGGCGGGCGTCATGGTGGCAGCAGCCTGGGCCTGCGTCTCCAACTGCAAGTTCGTTGCTTGCTGCGACGTCCGGAAGTCCTGATGCACACGCTTGATGTTGCTGACGTCATCCTCCAAAACTTGCACACGGGTGGTAAGGGTGGAAGGCCCTGCGGCTGCTACAGCAGCTGGCTGTTTCTCCAACGCCTGCAGCCGTACGAGCATCTGGTCCACTGTCTGCTGGAGGTGAAGGACTTCCTCCTGCTGTAGAGCGCAGGTGGCCACGAGGTCGTGGAAGACCTGCGCAAGGGCTGACAGCCCTTTCTCAGTCTCCGGGGCCCCGTCTGCAGATGTCACTTCCACCCAATGTGCGGCCTCATCGCCGATCATGGTCTCCCGCGTGAACAGTCGTTCCCGCTGGCGTGACCGGTGTTCGGCTGCCGCCTGCAGGTCTCCCTCTTCTTGACGAAGTCGGTCCTGTTCCTCCTTCTGTCGCTTGACCGCCTCCTCTTGTTCGAGCCGATTACGTTCCTTGGCCGCGGCGGCGGCCCTATCGTTGGCCTCCTGAATGAATGCCGCCAGGCGTTCCTCATGGGCCAGGAGGGATTCTCTCGCCTTCCGGTCCATGGACTTGGTGTTTGATCGAGTGAGCAGTGTCATGCACTGCTGTGCCCGAAGTCTGAAGAGTCACTCGAGGGCCAATCTGATGGACTGGCCCAGTACCCGGACTGGAGGGGGAGGTATAGGTAGGAAGCAGACAAGTGGGAAGGATCGGACAGATCCCAATTTGAACAGTTTCCTAATTAAAAATAAGAAAAACAAAACTTTAAAATTCGAAAAAAGTCTGTCCAATCCCACTGAGTACCGAAGGTGATGCAGAAAGCAAATGTGAACCTTCGGTGCTCGGACTGCAGAGAATCAGAAAAGAAGGGTCTTTATAACTCGGAGCAGGAGTAGGTTGCAAATTTTTTTTTTTTTGAAAAAAAAAAAAAAGAAAAAAAAAAAAACGGAATTTGCAGACCTACGCAGTGAAAGTGTAGAGGGACAGTTTCGGAAAAAGAATCGCGAAATTATCAAAATGCAGACATTTAACAATTAAACAAGGTAAAAAAAAAAAATTCTCGGAAACCAAATTTCTCGGAAAAATAATTTTTCGGAAAAGAATAAGAATTTCTTGAAAAACAAATTCTCGGAAAAAGAAATAATTTCTCGAAAAAAAAATTCTCGGAAAAAGAAATAATTTCTTGAAAAAAATAATTAATTCTGGGAAATTTCCAAGCTTAAATAAACAATTGCCAAATAATCAATCAACTTAATTAATCAATCAATCAATCAATCAATCAATCAGTCAATCTCAGATGATTGTTGGTTTATTGATCGATTGTTCGATCAATCTCCTGATTGACTGATCAATCAATCGAAGATTGATTGGTGGCAAACCACCAATCCAATCAATCAATCGATTGATTGGTTGTTGCCAAGATTCATCGCACTAGCTCCGATACCACTTGTAACATATCAGAAAGTGAAATGCACTGAAAGCCTAGGATCTAGCAATGACGAAAGTGGCAACAACCAGCAGCATAGGTGCA